ATTAAATGCTCCAACCAAAAGACACAGGCTTGCTGAATGGATACAAAAACATGACTCTTATATATGCTGTCTACAAGAGACCCACTTCAGACCTAGGGACACATACATACTGAAAGTGAGGGGATGGAAAAAGATATTCCATGCAAATGGAAATCAAAAGGAAGCTGGAGTAGCAATACTCATGTCAGATAAAATAGACTTTAAAATAAAGAATGTGACAGGAGACAAAGATGGAAAGTACATAATGATCAAGGGATCAATCTGAGATGAAGATATAACAATTATAAATATATATGCACCCAACATAAGAGCACCTCAATACATAAGGCAAAGGCTAACAGCTATAAAAGAGGAAATTGACAATAACACAATAATAGTGGGGAAATTTTAACACCTCACTTACAACAATGGACAGATCATCCAGAGAGAAAATTAATAAGAAAACACAAGCTTTAAATGACACAATAGACCAGCTAGATTTAATTGATATTTATAGGACATTCCACCCCAAAACAGCAGATTACCTTTTCTTCTCAAGTGCACACAGAATATTCTCCAGGATAGATCACATCTTGGGTCACAAATCAAGCCTTGATAAATTTAAGAAAATTGAAATCATATCAAGCATCTTTTCTGACCACAATGCTATGAGATTAGAAATGAATTACAAGAAATAAAACCATAAAAAACACAAACACAGGGAGGCTAAACAATACGTTACTAGATAACCAAGAGATCACTGAAGAAATCAAAGAGGAAATCAAAAAATACCTAGAGACAAGTGACAATGAAAACATGACAATCCACAACCTATGGGATGCAGCAAAAGCAGTTCTAAGAGGGAAGTTTATAGCTATACAAGCCTACCTTAAGAAACAAGAAAAATCTCAAATAAACAATCTAACCTTATACCTAAAGGAACTAGAGAAAGAAGAACCAACAAAACCCAAAGTTAGCAGAAGGAAAGAAATCATCAAGATCAGAGCAGAAATAAATGAAATAGAAACAAAGAAAAGCATAGCAAAGATCAACAAAACTAAAAGCTGGTTCTTTGAGAAGATAAACAAAATTGATAAACCATTAGCCAGACTCATCAAGAAAAAGAGGGACAGGACTCAAATCAACAAAATTAGAAATGAAAAAGGATAAGTTACAACAGACACAGCAGATATACAAAGCAACCTAAGAGACTACTACCAGCAACCCTATGCCAATAAACGGACAACCTGGAAGAAATGGACAAATTCTTAGAAAGGTATAACCCTCCAAGACTGAACCAGGAAGAAATAGAAAATATGAACAGACCAATCACAAATAATGAAATTGAAACTGTGATTAAAAATCTTCCAACAAACAAAAGTCCAGGACCAGATGGCTTCACAGGTGAATTCTATCAAACATTTAGAGAAGAGCTAACACCCATCCTTCTCAAACTCTTCCAAAACATTGCGGAGGAAGGAACACTCTCAAACCCATTCTATGAGGCCACCATCACCCTGATACCAAAACCAGACAAAGCTACTACAAAAAAAGAAAATTACAGACGAATATCACTGATGAATATAACTGCAAAAATTCTCAACAAAATACTAGCAAACACAATCCAACAACACATTAAAAGGATCATACACCATGATCAAGTGGGATTTATCCCAGGGATGCAGGGATTCTTCAATATATGCAAATCAATCAATGTGATACACCATATTAACAAATTGAAGAATAAAAACCATATGATCATCTCAATAGATGCAGAGAAAGCTTTTGACAAAATTCAACACCCATTTATGATAAAAACTCTCCAGAAAGTGGGCATAGAGGGAACCTACCTCAACATAATAAAGGCCATTTATGACAAACCCATAGCAAACATCAATCTCAATGGTGAAACACTGAAAACATTTCCTCTAAGATCAGGAACAAGACAAGGATGTCCACTCTCACCATTATTCAACATAGTTTTGGAAGTCCTAGCCACGGCAACCAGAGAAGAAGAAGTAATAAAAGGAATACAAGTTGGAAAAGAAGAAGTAAAACTGTCATTGTTTGTAGATGACATGACAGTATACATAGAGAATCCTAAAGATGCCACCAGAAAACTACTAGAGCTAATCAATGAATCTGGTAAAGTTGCAAGATAAAAAATTAATGCACAGAAATCTCTTGTATTCCTATACACTAATGATGAAAAATCTGAAAGAGAAATTAAGGAAACACTCCCATTTACCATTGCAACAAAGAGAATAAAATACCTAGGAATAAACCTACCTAGGGAGACAAAAGACCTGTATGCAGAAAACTATAAGACACTGATGAAAGAAATTAAAGATGATACCAACAGATGGAGAGATATACCATGTTCTTGGATTGGAAGAATCAATATTGTGAAAATGACTATACTACGCAAAGCAATCTACAGATTCAATGCAATCCCTATCAAACTACCAATGGCAATTTTTACTGAACTAGAACAAAAAAATCTAATAATTTGTATGGAGACACAAAAGACCCCAAATAGCCAAAGCAGTCTCGAGGGGAAAAAAACGGAGCAGGAGGAATCAGACTCCCAGACTTAAGACTACACTATAAAGCTACAGTAATCAAGATGATATGGTACTAGCACAGAAACAGAAACATATATCAATGGAACAAGATAGAAAGCCTCGAGATAAACCCACGCACCTATGGTCAACTAATCTATGACAAAGAGGCAAAGATATACAATGGAGAAAAGACGGTCTCTTCAGTAAGTGGTGCTGGGGAAACTGGACAGCTACATGCAAAAGAATGAAATTAGAACACTCCCTAACACCATACACGAAAATAAACTCTAAGTGGATTAGGGACCTAAATGTAAGACCAGACACTATAAAACTCTTAGAGGAAAACATAGGAAGGACACTCTTTGACATAAATCACAGCAAGATCTTTTTTGATCCACGTCCTAGAGTAATGGAAATAAAACCAAAAATAAACAAATGGGACCTAATGAAACTTCAAAGCTTTTGCACAGCAAAGGAACCCATAAAGAAGATGAAAAGACAACCCTCTGAATGGGAGAAAATATTTGCAAATGAATCAACAAAGGATTAATCTCCACAATATATAAACAGCTCATGCAGCTCACTATTAAAAAACAAACAACCCAATCCAAAAATGGACAGAAGACTTAAACAGACATTTCTCCAAGGATGACATACAGATGGTCAAGAGGCACATGAAAAGCTGCTCAACATCATTAATTATTAGAGATATGCAAATCAAAACTACAATGAGGTATCACCTCACACCAGTCAGAATGGGCATCATCAGAAAATCTACAAACAACAAATGCTGGAAAAGGTGTGGAGAAAAGGGAACCCTCTTGTACTGTTGGTGAGAATGTAAATTGATACAGCCACTGTGGAGAAAAGTATGGAGGTTCCTTAAAAAACTAAAAATAGAACTCCCATACGACCCAGCATTCCCACTACTGGGCATATAACCAGAGAAAACCATAATTCAAAAAGACACATGCACCCCAGTGTTCATTTCAGCACTATTTACAATAGCCAGGTCATGAAAGCAAGCTAAATTCCCATTAACAGACGAATGGATAAAGAAGTTGTGGTACATATATACAATGGAATATTACTCAGCCATAAAAAGGAACGAAATTGGGTCATTTGTTGAGACATGGATGGATCTAGAAACTGTCATACAGAGTGAAGTAAGTCAGAAAGAGAAAAATAAATATCGTATATTAATGCATATATGTGGAACCTAGAAAAATGGTACAGATGAACCGGTTTGCAGGGCAGAAATTGAGACACAGATGTAGAGAACAAACATGTGGACACCAAGGGGGGAAAGCTGTGGGGGGTGGGGGTGGGGGTGTGATGAATTGGGAGGTTGGGATTGACATATATACACTGATGTGTATAAAATTGATGACTAATAAGAACCTGCTGTATAAAAAAAAAATTAAATTAAATTAAAAAATTAAATAAAGAAAAGATAATGTAAATCAGTGCTGCCACTACTGAAAACATTATGGAGGGTTCTGAAAAAAAAAAAATTTACACAATGTGGAATGATCTCCAAGGTGTATTATAAAGTAAAAATGCAAGTTGTGGACCAATAGTCACATTACAGTACTGTTTATTTTATAAACTAGTTACACAATACTATATATTTTTATATATTATGTACACAAAACTATATATTCTTTATGTATATATATATATGTAATAAGTACATAGAAAACAATGACAAATTAAACTATTACTTTATCTGAATTTTAAAAATATTTATGAAAATGCATTTATTTAATATTTCTATAATTAAAATATATAATTTTTAATATATTAAAATGATTATAAACACAGGAATTTGAAAATGATATATTAATATGAAGCTGTCAGGGCCATCTTGAAATTCATCTTTGGAATAGTTTTATTCCACTAAATTAAATAAAACTATTTCTACTCAAATATGGCTTTTATTATGCCAACAATTAGAATTCTTTCTACTAATAATACTATTTAGAAGATATTTCAATAGCTAACTTTTCTTATTTTCCATTTAATTTTATTTTTATAATGCTTCTCACACTATGAAATTTTCTAGACTTCTGTCCTGGCTCATCGCCTTCACCATTAAACTAAAGATCTTCTGCACACTATATATAAGAAGGTATATTACTCCACTTTTCAAGGGATCATTTGTGCTTTGTTTGATGTCAAATGAAATTTTTAGATATTTTCCTTAAATAGTATAGTGAGTAGTAAATTAAATCTCTAGAACGTAATTCCTAATTAATCCTATTAGCTTTTTTCTCACCCTAGAACATAAACACTTTTACAACACTTTTTTAGTTCCAGCACTTTTTCAAAATTCCTGGGCTATGATGCATACTTAATAAGTAAGAATGGGTTGATGGATGGATGGATGAATGGATGAACAGATGACTTGGTAACAAGTTGCTTTTGAAAACTGGTATAGAGATAAATATATCTTACCTTAGTCTTCCATTCTGAACTGTTCCTTAAATCTTTCACAAGAACCATAAAGGCATCCGCTTCCAATGCAAGAGTTTTATTGCTTCACTAGAAGACATTATGGACCAGGGTTCAGAGACGCTTGATGAGTACACAATGCTTACGTAGGTTATTCTGTCCCTTTGTACATTCTTTATTACAAAATTACATGTTCCCACCTTGAAAAACAGATGCCTATATTGTGATTCCCCCAACGAATAAAAAAAACCCTAGCCTTTGTATGATGTTTTGCCATATAAAAAGTAATCTTACATATACACATATATTACTTGGAAGAACCCTTTTTAAAATTGCAAACCACTTCTCTACATAGCTCTCATCTCCCAACCTTTCTTTATTTTTCCCCATAACACCTGTCATCTTCTAGCATATCATTTACTTACTTTTTTTTATTGTCTGTCTCTTCCCTATCTTCCTCGGCCCAACCACCCACTTTCATATATACTAAATATAAGCTCTATGAGAGAAAGGAATTTTGTTTATTTTCTTCACTACTGAATTGCCAGTGCCTAAAACAGAGCCTGGTACATAACAGGTACTTAATAAAATGTTGTTGAATTAATGAATGAATATAGTCTTTATGCTATTTTTACATTGCTTCAATGGATGAAATTTGAGAATGAGAAAGTTTGGCTTTTTGAATAAGAGGACACCTCCAATTTTCCCTATTTTATTGATGATGTAATTGCTTTGGCAAATAAATTAAATGGCACAATAATAATATAATAATCTTCAAGTCCTACACAGACACAGACAGTTCTCTCAGATTCTAAGATGAACAGCTCTTTATCATGAATCAGGCTGTTCATTTCACTTTACCTTTGTCTGCATGACTTGGGGCTCATCACAGATTGAAATTGAGGGTGAAATGGGAAACTACATTGTATACAGTGAATAGAACCACCAGTTTTCAAAGAAGAGTTTTTAAAATTAAGGTAAATTTATTTGCAAAGGAATTTATATAACATGACGTAGTCAATACTACCACAAAACATGTTCTGCCCAACTTGTTTAATAAAATGCTTTTGTAGCATCTCTGTATAATCAGATCTATATTTTGGCATTATTCCACAGTAAAACTGATTCACATTCTCTAAGTACGTGATGCCTATATAGGAGAGAAATTTGAACTTTCTCTCAGCTTAAGCAGGCTCAGGACAATGTGAAGGAACTAAGGTGAGAAGTAGGCTGGACTTATCTGTCCTGTCTTCTCTGGCCCTCATTCTGTCTCTGCTCCCCTCCAGTTTGCCACTTCCCCCCACATACATACAATTTTGCTTTTTTTACATCTCTAGCAGTGTTAGGGCTGGGTTAAAGTAGGAAACCTTAGAGAAAAGGAGACACTTTAAAATATACCTCTGTTACTAAACACCTCTCTTGGCTGTCACTGTCTTCTGTGTGGCAGGTGTCCTAGCATTGCCCCACCGCCCCACACACACCAAGGGGTACATGTGTAGGTTCTTCAGGAAAATGTATAAAAGTCTCCACAAGGTACAGTTTGCTGATATAAAGGACACTCTGCAGCTTCACCTCCCTCTATTTTCTCTCCCCACCTCTTGCTTTTTGGAGCTCTATCTCAGCAGGCAGCTCTCTGCCATCACGTACTCACACGATAGCTGCAGCCCGAATTCCTTCCACAGGGTCTACCTAACCCCTCCATCCTTGCCACACGAAGCATTGAGAATCCACCCTGCCATCTCCTCCCTACTCCTTTCCCCCTGTTCTACTAGGTATGGGGAACAGAACAACAAGCATATGTACTGTCTCAGCAGATATGCAGCCACGAGCTGAGCTAGCTGCTTCCCTTCCTTATGGATGAGGCGGTGTAGTAGTAAAAGAAACAAGCACATTTGCCAGACTGCTTCAGTTCAAATCCCAGTGCCTCTATCAACCAGTCCTGTGACACTGGGCAAGTTTTAAAATTTCTCTGTAACTCAGACTGAGTCTGCAAAACAGAGATAAAATAGCTCCTAACACATAGGGTCATTATGAAGACTGAATAAATTGATACATGTACTACTCTGATAATAGTACCTGATAAAAGTACCAATCAATATGTGTTGTCTATCATCAACCCAAGTTTCTAGTAGTGGTTGTTTTAAAAATGCTTTTGCGGATCAGGGGAATGTGACTTCCATCCCTGACCACTCTTGTCAAGGGTACGTGGAAAAGGTTCAACACTCTCCTTTCAGGCAGAGGACCACTCTGACACTCCTGCCCATTTCTAAACACCATCTTCTCTTGCCTGGACACCTGCAATAGCACCCTCACCCAACCCCTCACCATCCTACAATCCATTATCCCTCCTACAATTAGGACAGTTTTCTTAAAACAGAGGTCAGCACAATTTTTTCTATAAAGGGTCAGATAGTAAACATTTCAGGTTTTGCAGGACTAGAGACAAAATCAAGGATATTATGTAGGCACTTTTATAACAAGAGAGATGAAAAAATTTCACAAAATTTTTACTGACAGAATTCAAAATATATTGATAATTGAAAACCATTTGAAAATACAGGTACACTAATGAAAGGAAAGTAGTTATTGGGGAGGGGATAACATTCTCTTAATTGGGATTTAAATTAGTGTTCTCTAACATCAAAATGATTGCAAATGTTTATTTGTTAAAGCTGATCTGAAATGGAATTTTACATGCTTCATCTTGAAAATGTCTTTTCACAGAAATTGATACTGAAATGACTACCCAATAAATTTATATATATTGAAGCTTAAAGATTATCTAAAGAACCCACAGACTTTTTTTTCTTTTAATACTCAGTCATGTCCATAGAATAGACAGACGAGAGAAACTTCACAGTAAAGAAGACTGCTTCTGCACTTACCAGCGCCTCAGGGTAGAATCCGTGACAGTAGTCACAGTGAGACTGATTACCATGGCTCTTCCTCACTCGAGATAAAACATAGTGCCACTAAAACCAAAAATAAACAAATAGGACCTAATGAAACTTCAAAGCTTTTGCACAGCAAAGGAAACTGTAAACAAGACCAAAAGACAACCCTCAGAATGGGAGAAAATATTTGCAAATGAAGCAACTGACAAAGGATTAATCTCCAAAATTTACAAGCAGCTCATGCAGCTCAATTACAAAAATCAAACAACCCAATCCAAAAATGGGCAGAAGACCTAAATAGACATTTCTCCAAAGAAGATATACAGACTGCCAACAAACACATGAAAGAATGCTCAACATCATTAATCATTAGAGAAATGCAAATCAAAACTACAATGAGATATCATCTCACACTGGTCAGAATGGCCATCATCAAAAAATCTAGAAACAATAAATGCTGGAGAGGGTGTGGAGAAAAATGGAACACTCTTGCTCTGTTGGTGGGAATGTAAATTGATACAGCCACTATGGAAAACAGTATGGAGGTTCCTTAAAAAACTAAAAATAGAACTACCATACTACCCAGCAATCCCACTACTGGGTATATACCCTGAGAAAACCATAATTCAAAAAGAGTCATGTACCACAGTGTTCACTGCAGCTCTATTTACAATAATCAGGACATGGAAGCAACCTAAGTGTCCATCAACAGATGAATGGATAAAGAAGATGTGGTACATATATACAATGGAATATTACTCAGCCATAAAAAGAAACGAAATTGAATTATTTGTACTGAGGTGGATGGACCTAGAGTCTGTCATACAGAGTGAAGTAAGTCAGAAGGAGAAAAACAAATACCGTATGCTAACGGTATATGGAATCTAAAAAAAAAAAAGAAAAAGAAAGGTCATGGAGAACCTAGGTGCAAGACGGGAATAAAGATGCAGACCTACTAAAGAATGGACTTGAGGATACGGGGAGGGGGAAAGGTAAGCTGGGCTGGGACAAAGTGAGAGAGTGGCATGGACATATATACAGTACCAAATGTAAAATAGATAGCTGGTGGGAAGCAGCTGCATAGCACAGGGAGATCAGCTCGGTGCTTTGTGACCACCTAGAGGGGTGGGATAGGGAGGATGGGAGGGAGGGAGACGCAAGAGGGAGGAGATTTGGGGATATATGTATATGTATAGCTGATTCACTTTGTTATAAAGCAGAATCTAACACACCACTGTAAAGCAATTATACTCCAATAAAGATGTTAAAAAAACCAAACAAACAAAAAAAACAAGTAAAGCTCTGTAGCTTGATGGGTAGGCCATCAGATAGAATCTGAACTGTAGTATATTAACTTGGTCTCCTATGTCTAATGAGACTGTTTATGAGAGTTCTCATAAAATCTATAATAATTCTAGAAAGAAGTCATAGAAAATATACATTATGACAAAGTACTCAAGAAAGAGACAAAAAAAGACTAATTACTATTAACAAATTTTTCAAACCAAATCAACACTGTAATATCTATGTAAAAATATGCTCTCAGCAAGACTAAAAGCAATAGTTTTTTACTAGTAGGCCCAGTACTTTCTTTAAAATATAATTGTATGAGACAAAGCTTTAGTTTCTAAAGATCTTCTAAAATATTCCTATTGCTTCCTCAAATACAGACTGCCTCATTTCCTGCAAATTGTTTTTCTAATTCTGTTCAAGAATATCAACTTCATTAAAACTTTAAAGACTTAAAAAAAAATAGTGCCAAAGTGTTTAGGTGTTTCTGAGAGTTGTTACTGTACATTTTACAATAATCAAGCCATTGAAGATTTGGGGTAACACGTAAAGACACAAGGCAAGAACATTAAAGTAAGCATTATGCACACCTGCTACTATTAAAAAATGCAACAATGCTATTTTCAACGTATTTTCAGTAAAGTGTCATCGATAACAGGACGAACAGAGGTTGCAGAAACTATCAAAACATCAAAAGTAGAATCAACGGTTTTAGAAATCTCCTTTCGAAGCTGGAAAGTTGAGTCAAAAATAATAGAAAAATTTCTTAATCAAAATATATTAGGAATATTTTTGTAACATGAACATATGTTAGAATATATGTTAAAATATAATTAAAATATTAGTCAGACTAAATTTTACAATCTTATAACTATTACATATGCCCAGGGTTTTTTTAAATCATTTTTCTCCTTTTACTTTCAAATAATTTTTTACAAAAATGTTAAATCATAGCATTTAATGATTATAGTTTCAATTGCCATTCAGCAATGATTTGTTAAATCAACTTTATTTTAATGGGGTATGTAGGTTCACTTGGAGTTGACCAGAATTCATTGTGGTGGGGAGATGCATCCTCTCCCTCTGTCTTCTGAAGGAGCCATTGTGCATGGAAACAGAGAGATGGTCCAGTCTTTGCAGCTCAGGCCAGGAGAGACACTCAGTTTCACTATGGTCACTTGTGCAGAAACAGCCAGTGAATCCAGCTGTGGTAAGTATCAAGATCCCGAACATCGGACTCTGCAGAAAGTGTCTTATTGTCCTTAGTGAACTTTCTCAGTAATTGACCTTCCTCTGAGGCCACGGCAACATGAGGTCAGGCAAAACCAGGCTGATGTGGAGAACCGTTTTCCCCAAATCAAAGCCCAAATAGGACTGAGGACTTTGTAAAGATATCTGATGGGTTTGCTCCTTGGCTAAAGTCAATGTGATCTAGACCTTGAGGGAACCAGAGTGTATGTTAATTTCCATTAATAAAAGTGAGGAGAAATGTTTACAGAAACAGTACCACCCCCCTCCAAATCCACGTCCTTCTCCCTCCCTGCCTTTCGTCTCCTCTGTTACCTATCAATCACCTGAAAGGAAGATCCTCCTGAGCTGACAGCATCCTCTAGCGAGAAGATAATGGTATTCTCTCTGTAGATTAACGCTCTATTTGAAAAGCAAACCCCACTGTCACCCACTATTAGTGTGTGTCCCTGTGCTTCTGCGTGATGAGTCTTCCCATTCAGTAGGTTGTCTCTTCATTCTGTCAATGGTTTCCTTTGCTGTGCAAAAGCTTTTAAGTTCAATTAGGTCCCATTTCTTTATTTTTGCTTTTATCTCCTTTATTTTAGGAGACAAGTCCAAAAAATATTGCTGCAATTTATGTCAGAGTGTTCTGTCTATGTTTTCCTCTAGGAGCTTTATAGTATCCGGTCTTACATTTAGATTGTTAATCCATTTTGAGTTTATTTTTGTGTATGGTGTCAGAGAATGTTCTAATTTCATTCTTTTACATGTAGCTGTCCAGTTTTCCCAGAACCACTTATTGAAGAGACTGTCTTTTCTCCCTTACATATTCTTGCCTCCTTTGTTGTAGATTAATTGACCATAAGTGTGTGGGTTTACTTCTGGGCTCTCTATTCTCTTCCATTGATCTATGTGCCTGTTTTCATGCCAGTACCATTTGGTTTTCTTTTTGTTTGTTTGTCTGTTTTTTGAAGAGAGGTATACTTTTTTATTCTCACAAAGTCTCTATTTCTAAATAGACCTATAATACAGAATCTTACCTTGAGATCCATACATAAACATCAAGAATATTTTATTTTTTAAATTTTTATTGGAGTATAGTTGATTTACTATGTTGTATCAGTTTCAGGTGTATAGCAAAGTAAATCAGTTGTACATATACATATATCTGCTCTTTTTTTTTAGACTCTTTTCCCATATAGGCCATTACAGAGTGTTGAGTAAAGTTCCCTGTGCTCTACAGCAGGTTCTTCTTAGTTATCTATTTTATATATGGTAGTGTGTATATGATAAAGAAGGTGTGGTACATATATACAGTGGAATATTACTCAGCCACAAAAAGAACGAAATAATGCCATTTGTAGCCACATGGATGGACCTAGAGATTATCATACTGAGTGAAGTTACTCAGACACAGAAAGACAAATATCATATGATACCACTTATATGTTGAATCTAAAAAAAAGGGTACAAATAAACGTATTTACAAAGCAGAAATAGAGTCACGGATGTAGAAAACAAACTTATGGTTACCAGGGGATGGGGGGGAGGGATAAACTGGGAGATTGGGATTGACATATACACTGTACAGTTTTGATTACTGTAGCTTTGTACTATAGTATAGTATGAAGTCAGGGAGTGTGACTCCTCCAGCTCTGTTCTTTATCAAGACTGTTTTGGCTATTCAGGGTCTTTTGTGTTTCCATACAATTTAAAAATTCTTTGTTCTAGGTCTGTGAAAAGTGCCATTGGAATTTTGATAGGGATTGCATTGAATCTGTAGATTGCCTTGGATAATCACATTTATAAGGAAACACTAAGTTATGATACTAAAAGTATTCTAGACTTTTTCTAAGAGCTCTTTCTACAATTATCACCAGGAATTCCCACTGGCGCTTACACAAGTAATCCAAATGTAACCTACTGTAGGATTCTAGGCCCAGTCATTTTAAATAGTTTGAACTTGGGTCCACTTAGTGATATATTACAGCTGCCACTCCTTATTCTTATATCCCTCTTCGAGTCTCTGAAGAGGACAATTAAGCACTGCTTGTGGCTCTGCATTCACTGCTGTCCTCGTCAACCTTCTACACTGTTGTCCGCAGCCAAGTAAGCTGCCAGAGTCCTCTAGAGGATGGAGTGTTCCCACAACTTGGTACTTGCTTGCTGGTGAATCCATGGTACCCTTGGAATCAAAGACTCTCTTCCCATATCCTCTAGATCCACCTCTAAGTTCACTTGCAGTTGCATTTCCTGTTCTCTGACACTTCCCTGTATTCTGACAGCTTTCTACATCAAGTATCCACATTTTCTGGCCACTGCCTTAGGACTTTCTCTGGAACCAAGGTAGAGCTTGCTCAGTCCACATGCAGGGTACCCCAGAAGGCCTGGGGATCTTACCCATTAGACTTCTCCTTTATTCATAAGAACTTTATCTAAAAGGCTGTGTTATCTCTGTCTGTTAACTAGGCACCATGCCTTTATCTCCCTTTCCCCACCCTGATGAACAGATGAATAGATCAGTTGTGCCTACATATGCCCAAAGCCAAATTGTAACAAT